CCCTCTCTCTCTCTCTCTCTCTGTCTGTCTGTCTGTCTGTCCTGTCTGTCTGTCTGTCCATACATATAGGTATATATTTGTATATTTGGATATACAGTATATGCAGTGAATACTTTCCAGAAAATGTTATTTGCTAAGAAAGAGAAGAGGAGAGAGAGACAGAGAGTCGCAATAATGGGAGGACAAACAAATGAAAAGTTGGCTCCAAAGCTCACAGATGTAACAGGAAAATACACACACATACACACACACCACCACATGACTGCTCTGGCTATTAGTTGGATGAGGTTCATGTTCCAAACGCACCAAGTACGTACACTCAAGGACATGGATGAAAACATCCTGGCCCCATAATCTGCCACCCGCAAGCCTATGTTCTGACACTTTGGTTGCTACGCCTTTCCAGATGTTGTGGGATTAAGCCTCTTCAAGCCAAGAAGAAGGAGCAGATAGAGTTGGAGCATGCCTGATAACATTGAAAAAGATGTTGACTGTGATCCTACCCTTCTCTTCCCTGGGTAATGGGGGAGAAGGCCTGATTTCACGACATGGGGTCTGTTCTAGAGATATCATCAGTCTCCCATGTTTACATCCATAAAGTCAGATCCTGGAATGTGTAGTTGCTTTTTTTGCAAAGGAAATATGATGATGAAATAACGCGTGCAATAATAACAACAGTCTTAGAACTGGAGAGCTGGAAGGGACCTTATAGATCATCAAGTCCAGCCCTTTTTAAGCAGGCCTAGTGGGGGAATCAAACTCCCAACCTCTAGTTCTGCAGCCAGAGACCTCAACCACTGAGCTATCCAGCAGTTCTGTAACAAAGGACTTGAGAGTTTCCCAAGGTCAAAATGGACGTCGGAACCACATTGGGGAACACAAAGCATGCTGAATTGGGACAGAAGTAGAAAAGCAGGGTTGAATGACACATGAAGAGTTTACCATGCAGAAGCTTCTGAATGGGCGAGGGGGAATCAAAAGATTGTATGTTGGAAATAATGGAAGATTCATTCATGGGACTTATTGTCATCAATGAAAAGTACACCTAATGTCTTGCATTAAGACCTCACTGAGCTCAAATGCTTAGTTGAATCAAGTGGGTCCCAAATCTAAAGTTGGAACCTTAATTAGGGAACGTATCTTGTCCTGATACTCATCAAGCCACTGGCAACAGAAATTACTGTTATCCCAAGGGCCAAAGTACCGTATTTTTTTCATGTATAAGACTATACTTTTGTCTAAAATCTTTAGACTAAAAACTGAGGGTCGTCTTATACACAAAAGTAAGCTGAGGAGAGAACAAAAACAACCGGAGGGGAAAGCAGGGATCAAAGCGATCCTGCAGCGCTTTGATCCCTTTCCCCCTACACTTGCTAAGCCCCACTTAAGATTTCTTAATTTTGGATTAGAAAAGTGGGGGAGTCGTATACATGGGGGCATCTTATACATGGAAAAATACAGTAAATTGTTACTTTGAGCATTATATTGGTGGTTACATTACCCTTCCTTATGGGGGTTGGCCTGGGCTTCTCTGGTTTGGATTGGAATGTAAGAGTCCTAAGCTACTTTTGAGTTGTGAAGACCCTCAGTTTTCCTTGTGATGGACCAGAAAGTCCTGGAGGGCATGATCTACATTTCCTTTAAAGCCTAGAGGATTCCATTGTTGATGTTCTTGTCATTACAGGAATTGTGTGGGGCTGCCTTCCTCTCTTCCCAGTGTACGGTGAAGAAAAATGGCATTGAAGCCACAAATAAGGTCTTATTCCCTAACTGAAAATAAAATAAAAGAATGCGTAGCATCACCGCCTTTCACAAAGAAGGAAAGAAGTATCATGCAAGGAGAACAGTAGTGTATTAAAAAGAGCTAGGTTCTGTGATGGTTAATCTTACTGTAAGAATGGCAGATGGTTTCCCTTCTTTATGTGCAAAAGGAATGAGTAACAATTAGAGACTGGCATGAATTAAGAAACAAATTAAAAATTTGTAAAAAATCTGCTAATTTGCAGATTCGTATTCGTATTTGTATTCTTCCCCAATGAATACGAATCAATGGACTTTTAGCAATTTTTGATTTGTTGTTTCATAAAATGCCCCCCCCAGGCATTGTGGGACACCAAAATTCCAGAGAATCTTCCCCTGAATCCTTTCTACATTCCTTCAAAGTTTGGTGAAGACTGGGTTTCAGATGTCTGAGTTATACATCCACAAAGAAGGCCCTACCAGAAAGTCTTCCCCCCCAGGACCTAGAGACCCTAAAATCACAGAGAAACTTCCTCTAACTCTCCTTTACAATCCTTCAAAGTTTGGTGAAGACTGGGTTCCCCCAGGGTCAGCTGCTAAAGAGCACTTTCTTGGGGGGCCCTCTTTGTGGGTACATAACTTGGACGTCCAAAACCCAAATGTCAGCAAATTTGGAGGTCTTGTAGAGGAGTGTTAGGGGAAGCTTCTGTGTGATTTTTGTGACTCTCGGTCCCTTCTTGTAGAGGAGTGTTAGGGGAAGCTTCTATGTGATTTTTATGACTCTAGGTCCCTGGGGGGACATTTTACAATGTCATTTTACAAGGTTTTAAAGGCAAAATGGATCAACAAATTGATTTGTTGATTCTATTTTGCCTTTAAAACCTTGTAAAATGACCCCCCCAGGGACCTGGAGTCACAAAAATCACACAGATTTCAAAAATTAATTTGTTGATTCATCATTAAAAATTGAGAAGTCATTGTTCATGATTTGTCAACCTTGACAAATCACAATTTGAAACAAATTGCAATTTTTTCCAATCCGTGCTCATCTCTAGTAACAATGCTAGTTTATAATGCGTTGTGTCCAAGATCTTCCCAAATCTGGACAAGGCAAGGGTTGTAGACAGAAACAAGGGCATTCCTTAGCAACTGGCTGCATTTCCTCAAGAAAACATGCATAGGAAGATGCAAAGTTCAAACACCCATCCCATACACAACACCACCATGTCTCCAGAATCACATGCTATGCGGCCCTAGCAGCATCCTTAGATTGAAATATGTAGGCTGTTATGTGTACAATAGGACCCTCTTATCCATTGGATCAGCATCCACAGTTTCACTTATCCACAGTCTGAAAATATTAAAAATCCAGAAAATGTATTTTCACATGTATTACCAGAACTCACTACTAGAGGGAGACAGAGACCATGCTATGAATACTTGTTAGTGAAGAATACATAGCATGGTCTGAATCTCCAGCAGATATGGGAGTCCTACCATGTAAGAAAAAACAACTAGCTCAAAAACTAAAGAGTAATTTAGCGGACAATTTCTGATGAGGACAGGAAAGGAACCACACACACACACAGAGAAAGAGACAGAGGGAGAGAGATATACACAGAGAGACAGCGAAAATGGCAGTTCTCCCACCCTCTCTGTTCCAGTTTTATGTGGAATAATATATCTTATGGAAATGTCTTCATGTGACTAGAGACATATTTCCCACAGTCTGGAATATGCCATGGAAATCCTGTCCATTCAAAAAAAGGCCTGTTCAATTAACTCAGTGTAGCAGGGCTGGTCCTTTAGAAGATGTGGCACACAGAAAGGTGGGTTGATAGTTAAAGGGTCCATCTAGATCAGTTAGTCTCTAAATGAGACGAGACAAACTGAATAAGTACACACATCTTGACAACGGATGCAAGCACATGCTCAGATGAGGAAGATGAACATGGTAGCTGTTAAGCCCATGGAGAAACTCAGCATCCTTCTTCACAGTTTCTTCAGGTCAAACTATACATTACAGATAGCCTTCATTAGAAGAGGGACTTCCTTAAAGACTCAGAGACATCTGGTTGGCACAGACATAGTTTTCTTTATATGTTTCTTTAAAAATCAGCTTTGTTTGGCCACTGTTGGATAAATATGTGCTTCAAATGCAAGTCTGATTGCTCAAATATGAAACTGTCCAAGAGTTTCATATTTGCTCTCGTGAAAACACGAATGTGATTTTGTCTTCTGATTATGTGCTCTCTGTAACATCTAGTTTGACCCCTTAGTCAGCCAGTCCGTGGGCAGGTCAGAGTTGTCTAAATTCCCCTGGAGTTGCGCTAAACACAGTGTGAAGCAGAGAAGGGGGGGGATCTCTTCTCAGTTTGGTGGCATTCTATAAAACTGAGTTTGTAGAAGTCAGATTCAATTCATGCATTAGGAAAACGACTGTTCCTGGAGGAAGAGAAAGTCACTTTTATGGGAGGATGGTGTCATGTCAAGGACCAAAGGCGATTCATTCCTTCCCCCTTTTGCGATCCATTCCAAGTTGGACACACACAAATGCACATACGCACGCGCGCGCACACACAAACACACACACACAGGAAGACATGGACATCTTTGTTCTCTTGCCAAGAACGAGGACATATGTTTGCCTCTGTAGCTGCTACTCGAGACATAGACAGAGATGGATACGGTGTCTTTCTGTTATGGGGCGACAAGAAGTGGATGGAACCACAGTTGAAGGGAATAAGGTTTGATGGAATATTTCCCACGACCCTTCAAATGTAGACACAGCTTGGGCATGTTCTCCTTCATGGAGATGGGAGGAAAGAGAAGGAAGAAACTCTTAAGATAGTCTCCTATGGGGGGGGCAAACAACAGCTGTATTCTGATAATGCAATCAAGAGCATAACCCATGTTCCATGACATGTATGTCGAAAACCCGCAGAGGGAGAAGCCCATATCTCTACCACCTTACCTATTTCCATTGAAGGATGTCTTATAATCCCCTGGTGAAAGTATCGTCTCCTCAGCGTACACCGGCACTGGCGTCCTTACACACTCATGAGAGCATTGCAGCGTTTCGTTGTAGGCTGTGAAGATGTCCAAATTACTGGGCACTCTGGCCGGGGTGAAATCCGTCAGGTTCTGACAGCTTTCCTCCTGCTGGTTAATTTTCCGCTGGTGGCTGTTCCTTCTTGTGTTCCCACTCTGGGCACAACTGGGAGGCAAAGAGAAGAGATACATGTGGAGACAGGTGTTGACCAAATAGACAAACCACCTTTCCCTTTTGCTACAACCTGAATCAAATAGTCTCTTCAGTTTCAAACCCTAAACAGCTTAAATAGCAGGGATGTAGATGAGGATGAAAAACAAACCAAAATTATACTGCTCACCTCACGAAAGGGTGACAAACTTTATTGCACGCTCAAAAGAGGAGCGAATATGAAGGGGTTTCCTGTGCAACTTTGAGCGAAATTGCACAGAAAACGGGGAACACAAATAGGATTTCAACGCACAAAATACAGCTTGTGCTGAATAATAATGTTGGCTGCTTTGCTGCCCAGATTCTTCAGGACCAGAAACATCAGAATGTGTGGTTGTGTCTCTTTGCATAAGTAGCCATCATTCAGTTGTGTAGGTACACACTTTGTTTCTCAAATAGAAAAGATGCATGTTTTATGCACATAGATTGTTTTAAAACTTCAGCAAGCAAAAAAAAAAAAAACCACTCCTTCTCGTGCTCTCTTTTGGAAGAGAGAAATCTCAAGGGGGATGGAAAGCCTTTACCAAGATGTCTGGGTAAGAAAAACAGACTAAATTGATGAAAATGAGGAACTACACAAATTTTCCTTCTATCTCCACGAAGTAGCAATTACAGATGAGACTTTTTTTTTATTTGCTTTTGGAGTCTTTCATGGCTTTACATTAGAGAGCTTCCAAAACACAAAACATTTGGGATTCCAAAACAGAAGTTAACAAAACTTACAGATTTGTTTTTACACATTTCACCATTCCATTTGACTCCTGGGTGCAAAGCCACCTCTTTTGATATCCCAGCAAATAGCTGCATCGTAAGCCTCATGAAGAGAGCTCTCAGCTGTCAAGTTAGGATTCAGGGCACATCCTGGAAGAGGTGGGTGGGAAAAGGGCTTGGCAAAATGTAGTGGCTGCTTTTTAGTTGTATGGTGACTCTGTTCACTGTTGCTGCTGAGAGAACTCCTCCAGCCTCCATTTTGGATTGGTCTCATTCCACACTGGCCTGCCACAGATACTGCTACTGCTATTCCTCCACAGCTGACTACATTCTTAAAAACATCTTGCTGCTATTACCTTGGATTACTGCCTGGATTACTTGGATTAATTGGACTGATTCTTGGAGGGCCTTGCCAGCCATTTCCTTTATTGTTTCCTGGAATGCCAGACTGCCTCCCTGCCCTTCACATGGACGGAAGCCATCAGAGGGATAAAAGGGGGACCTATCTCTACAAACCCCCATGTTTTGGTTTGTGGTTGAGGGATATTATTACATTATCCTAAATCAGTATTTGTGTTTTATTTTGATTATGATTTCTCTTTCTCATCTCTGCAGGTTCTTGCTGATGAGTTCATGAGGATTTAGGGATAAATGTGAAGTACTGTTAGTGCCCGCATGGGTGTGTTGGTGGTCGATTTTTGTACTGTCCTTGCTGGCCTCCTTTGGAGTAGATGGTTGTCTGTTGCCTTGAACCTGCTTTTTTGGGGGGCTAGTTTTGAGGGTTCTGTAGGGCTTTAATTGGCATTAGTGTAGGCCCCTTCCAATTTCACTTTTCTATGATTCTACGAAACCATAATGGGAAATCTGAAACAGAAGAACCCTAATTACGAACCCATCATGAAAGAAATTCGAAATATTTCACCTGCATATCCCTAGTAAGAAGATCTCACATGGATTTAAGTCCCGCAGAACAAAGCCAAAAGGTGAAAAAAAAAGCATGTAATCTTCATGAGATGCCCTGAACATCTGCGCAAAGCACCACTCATCGACAAAACAAGGACGAACTTGGGCCGAGTTGTATTCTAGATGTCTGCACTGTCAGGGCCAAGATGATAGTGACTCTGCATAGCCCTGGGGCTCTTGAAGTTGAAGATGGACTCAGAACGAAAAGGATGGCGATGAAAGAAAGACTTAAGTGCTTAAGAGAGGAAACTCTATTACCGCCTGCTAATTATACCTGTGGGTTCACTTTTAGTTATCATCCTGAAGTACCTGAGAAACATTGGCCTCAATCAACCAAATAGCTTTCAGCAATATTTTATGCTTGTGTTTATTTATCTAGCGGAATCAAATTTGAATTTTAAATGGGGTGGTCTTCATCATTAACAGGAAATTAATGGCGTTAAGCGGTGCAGCCGTGTGAATGAACCCAGAGTTTGGGATTCACGTCGCTCTTTCTGCATGCTTGACGCATCTTTCAATTCATCCTAAATGCAAATGCTTCAGGTTTTTTTTTCTTATTGCCACTCTCCTGGTACACTCTGCTTTGCATTTTTTTTTTATTTCAGGAAGAAAATTTACCAGTGAATTCTGGAATCAGCACCAAGGTCTAGGCAAGTTATTTCGGGAACCTGTTTCACAAAGTGAAATTTCCAAGCTCTGATTACGGACTGGACAGTGCACACTAGATTTCTGTTAATTCTAGTTGTCCATCTTTCCAGAAGTATCAAGTGTGCAATCATAAGAGAGTAAAACAGAGAAGCAGATGATAATGGAGTTAGAAGGGGCCATCAGGTCCAACCCTCTACTCAGTACAGGAATCCAAGTCAAAGCAGATCTGACAGATGGTTGCCTAAATTTTTCCTAAATACCTCCAGCGTTGGCGTACTCACCCACTTCCAGAGGTCTTAGGTTCCATTGTCACACTGCTCTAACAGTCAAGAAGTTTTTTTCTGATATTCAACCAAAATCTTGCTTCCTGCAGCATAAGCCCATTCTTACAAGTCCTGCACTCTGGGATGATGGAGAACAGATCCTGCCTCTCCTCTATATGAATACCTTTCAAGTGTTCGAAAAGTGCTCTCCTATCTCCACTCTGTCTTCTTCTCTCCAGGCTAAACATGCCCAGATCTTTCAGTCTTTCCTCCTAGGGCTTGGTTTCCAGTCTCCTGACCATCCCTGTTGCCTTCCTCTGAACTTGTTCCAATTTGTCGGCATCCCTCTGGAAGCATTAGGTATCATCACACACACACACACGTCCTCCAAAAAGTATTTTTAGCATGGTGCTTTCTGGAGGCATATAAACTCAGGTATCCTGCGCAACAATTGCAGAAAAGGCTTTGTTTTGTGGTGGCGCCATCTTATGATGGCGGACAAAAGATGCCATCTATATACCATGACATCAATTCTTTCCAGGGATGGGGACTCAGGAGTCACGATCCCTGGCAGAGTCCGACTTAAAGTCATCCTGGCAACGTGACTTGAACTCGGCTCAGGGTTATTTTGAATGACTTGGATACGACTCATGAATTGGACCCATTTTATCTGGGTGGCACTGTCGAGCCCCTGTTCAGGATGGGCCTCCCTACCTGCGCTTGTTGCCACTGCCACTGCCACCATCATCCTCAGAGGCAGCTGGTCAAGCTTCCTTCCGGGATGGGCCTCCCTACCTGCGCTTGTTGCCGCTGCCGCCACCATCATCCTCAGAGGCAGCTGGTCGAGCTTCCTTCCTAAGAGCCGGCTGCCACCTCCATCCACGCACCCACTGCCCAGCCGATAGACAGGCGCATGCGCAGAGGCAGGGGCCCCACTGTCTCTGCACGTTCAGATGTGCATGTGCCCACCTGGCTTGCCTGCCACACCCACTGTCCCTCCACATGCATCAGCCTATCCACTGGGTGGCGCATGTGCATCCCAAGTCTTTGGATCTGAGTTGGGACGCACGACTCAAGTCCTGGACCCAACGGCTCTGACTCAGCCCTGGGACTCAGCCCTGACCTGCCAACCTTCCTGTCTTCTCCTCCATTTTTTGGCAGTCTTTAACCAACAGGCATAGGCAACTTGTAAAAACAAAGGGAGCAGGGAGATAGCAAAGGACGAAAGCAAGCAACCAGGGCATGAACTAGCACACAATGCCCCGAGTTCGGATTTTCTTTTAATCTTAAAACCAACAGACTCTTAACTGTGTCTGTTTATTTCCAGCTTTTTCCCCCCAGTTTTACGCATGATCTTTGATAAGTCTTCTGCCATGTTTCTGTATTAATCTGTTTTATACGCACACGGGGCGTGGATTTCCTCCTTGAGCTGACTTGCAACCCTGCGAGTATTTTCCCCAATGAGGGAACATGTCTGGGTTGCTTTCTTTTCAGAGTTTCCCAGAGACAGGCGTCCTTTTCAGTTTTGGATCCTTTCGGGTTCAGATAAATACGAAAATAGCATTTCGGGTTCTCTCAATTCAGCTTTCGAATTCTTCCTGCTGCTAAACTTTAAAAAAGGCCTGCAATTTGAACCCATTGGTTCAGATTCTGCCCTGTGGGGCATGAGAAAAGAGCCCTTACTTCCTCCGCCATGTGACAATCCTTTAGATGGGTATTCTATCATCTTTCCATATTCTCTTCCCTAGGCTAGACCCAGCTTCCTTAACTTTTCCTCACAGGGCTTGGTTTTCAGACCCATAACAATCTTGGTCGCCCTTCTCTGGACACATTTCATGTGACAATATCCACCATCAACTGATTGTACCAATGGTAGGCCCATTGCCAACATGGTCGGGTTGACTGAGAGGGTGTTGGCCAACCAGCCGCAGATGTTCTTGGAGGAAACAGATAGTCTGGATCCATTTCAATCAAGGTTTGGGCTAAACCATGGAATAGAAGTGGTATTGGTCACCCACAAGACAGTATCCTGAGGGAGGCAGAGAGAGGGAGTGTAACCCTGGGTGGTCTTCCTAGATCTTTCTGCGGCCATGGATACCATCAACCACAGGACCCTTTTGCCCCATTTTAAACCCAACATCGGCTTCCCTGAAGTGCCCATCATCATAATCTTAGAATCTGTAGAGCTGGAAGGGGCCTACACTTCATGGAGTCCAGCCTCCGTCAGGGAGGTATAGCGGGGAATTGAACTCCCAACTTCTGGCTCGACAGCCAAATGCCTAAGCCACTGATCTATCCAGCAGTCCCAAATGGGCTCCACTCCTGCTCTCTGTAGCAGCACCATGGGGGCTCCTGTTTAGAATAACTTCCAAGATCACATCCCAACAATGGAGTCTGTAAAATCGCCTGCCCTGTGTCCTCAAAGACCTTTGAGCAGGATTTGAGCCGAGAGACACCTCAGCCACAGAAGAGAGCTTTCGAAAACGCTCAGTGGCTTCACCCGGGCTTTTCTCCTTAATCCTTTTTGACAGGCCAAGGCCTAGTGGGGAGAAAGAGGCTGATCTTCTTTGGATGGCATTCTAATTTACTTGCCACCTCTGGATCAGATTCAGCCCCATCCCTGGAGGGGAGCCTGCCAACCATCCAGTCCAATTATGTCGTGGAACGCCACCGCTTTGAAGCTTTTACGGAGCATATTCTTGAGCGGTGAACGGGCTTGAAATCGGGCTTCAAGAAAAGCAACGCTTTCCAGCTCCTTACCTTCTCCCAGAGGTGGATCATTACGGTCGAGAACAGCTGACCTCTAAGTAGGTCAGTTTGACAAGGAAAGTAGGTAAAAGCAGGCGTGCCTGAAGCAAGGATGTAACCTAATTTCCTGTGTGCATAGCTGATGTGGAAGGAGAAAGGGAGCAAATGAAGCCGGACGAGAGCACGGAAGCCAAGATGTATGAAATATGCAAAGTGTCCTGGCATGCTTGGAAGGGCTTCCAGAGGTGATGGGCTCTCCCCTCGCATCACAGTCATTTGTACAATATGAGCCGTGAGGAAATGAAATGTTAGAACAGATGAATTAATTACAGCAAGTAGATGCATATCATGAATACTACCAAGGCTGCCTGCTGTATCTCTGTATGATTCATTGTTCAGATTCTGCCTCCTTCCAATGAGACTACCTTGTCAGGGCAATCCCGCTCTACGTCGACAGTGTATTTTCTGAGATCATTTCACTGGTTGCTAGGGGTGTGTCATTTAGGTTTTCTTGGGAGTAGGGACTCCAAATCCCAGAATTCTCTGAGAATTCCCCAGGCAGAATGCTGGAAGTCCTAACCCAGGACACAGACTGACAAACACTTCACTTTCACTCACCTAGACGAGGCTGAGGCCTACTTTCAGACCTTATTTATTTCCTGCTGCAACGCCCAGAAGGAAGCTGCCCCGGTGTTTCCTGGGGGTGGTAGTCTCGTTGCTCTCCACGCTCGACAGAGGTTACCCTTTTTATGCACCTCTTGGAAAACTACAGTGCCCAGAATGCATTACAGCAGCTTCCTCCTGGAAGTCTCACAGCAGGAAATGAAAGGGCCAGAAGAAGGCCTAGGAGCAGGCCTCGCCACGGTGAGCGAAAGGAAGGTCTTTCCTGTAGGTGTTTATGGGCTGGAATTCCCAGAATTCTGCCTGGGGAAACTTTGGAAAATTCTGGGATCTGGAGTCCAAAATACCCCTTCTGGTTACTAGGCAAAGAGAGGGGAAAGAAGAGAGTGAGAGAATGAGAATGCGAGAGTGGAATAATCTAACGTTTGGCTAATATATGGAACCTCAGGGCCCAGTATATAAGCTGGGATCTCCCAATATGTCCTTGCTCCCTGCTCCATGATACTGTTGTTTCCTGGTTTCCAGGCTTTTGTACCTGTCCCCTGTTGTTGTTTCCACCTTTTTGCCATGCCTACCACTGAAGCATCACTACCTATACTCCTCTGAAACTGAAATTGGTCCTTGGGTTGAAAAAGGTCCCTCTCTCCTGCATCAGCTGCCTGTTGCATCTCTGTGTGACTCACTGCTCTCATTAGTTTACTCCTATTAGTTAACTTGATTCCTATTAGTCAAATTGGGGTAACCAATTCTGTTCTGGTGCTGAATGAGGTGTCACTGGGCATCTCCAAGTAGGATGGCTTTAGCTTAAAGACTCTAGATGCACACAAGAAATTGCCCATATAGTCTTCTGTTGAAGACATAGAGATGTGGGTCCCCAGATGTTCTTGGACTACAATGCCCACAAATCCCGGACATCTCATCTGGGAGCTTTTGTCCAAGAACATCTGGGGACTGACGGTTGAGAACCACTAACGTAGAAGGATGCCCAGATTCAAGGGATGGGAGACCTGAGGCTGAGCTATTCTTAGGCTGTTGGTATAAAACACACCTGAAGGTTTAAATAGGGCTGCAGGAAAAGCATATTACATCTTTCATCACAACCTCTGCCCCAGAAAAAAAAAAAAAAGAAACCAGATCAAATCAGGCAGAGCCTATCCCATAAATCTATGTTACCCAAACTGTTGAAGAATGCATTATGGAAATCAGATGGCATGAAATAAAAGACGTGCTCCATCCAAAGAGAAGCCTAAATACATGCAGATTGATGTGGACAGGGAACTGAAGATGTAACCAAGGGAGGAATGATGCAGGACTGACAAACAACTCAGAATAAAACCAAGGAAAGCCTGATGTGTGAAATAATCAGGGATAAAGTTCTAGTCCACACCTACCTCAACTTTTTCAAAATGAAGAGGTAATAATCCATAATAATAGCAACTTTGTGTGTGGGGGGGGAGATTTGTGGCTCAGATATTTAGATCTCTTCCACCCAACACTCAAAGGGGGCGAACCCTAAATGAGGTTCAGCACCTTGGATAACTCCTCCAACATCCATACTAAAGCCTAGAGTGGATTCATTGACATACACACATGCACCCTGCACACAATCAGATGTGCAAGCCTCCAGTGCTTGCAAAGTAGATAAGGGAGATAGGTCATCTCTTCTGCAAGCTTTGAGGTGGAACAGGATCACATCACAATCCAGGCTGACTCTTCAAGCCTTCTTTCTCCATTTTGGACCTCAAATAGCTAGCTACACATTCCACGATGGTTACATCAATCCAAAATCATTTCTGAATGGTTTTTCTGCTCCTTCCCAACCCCAGCTAGCTCATATTTTGTAACACTACCCAACAAATAGCTTTGGACTATTCAAAAGTGCATGCTTTGTAGCCCATTATTTGGTTTTTCTCAAACTGTGGATATTTCTTTGTTTTTAGTCAAATCACATGGCAAACTTTCCTTGTTATTCTCACATAGCAGTGGGGGGGGGACACTAAATTCCTCATTCTGACCAATAGGGACTGTCTTAATGTACTGAGACATTTTGATGTCAGACCTCGCTGTTACAATCATCCTTTATCAAGAAATGCCTTTACTTTTTTGTGGCCAGTTTTGAAGACACAACCAGGTTGGTCTATACCAACACAATCAAAAAGGAAGAAAGGACTCATGTAGCATGAGGCTTATAGATTTTGTTTAGTATAGTATATTTATGGTACATGTTTCCATAACTTTGAAATAGTAAAATACTGCAATAGTACTTTTATTAAACAGTTATGGGGATGTGGTCTCACTAAATGGCAAAGGGAAAATATTACCCAGTTCAACATTGGGCTCTTATGTTGTCCTGTGGATGTTGAGTGTGTTTAAAGCAGTCGCTAGCAGCTTCAGATTTCTTAAAAAGTGACCAGAAAATAAGCACAGTAGCTATTTTTAAGAAATATAATAATGAAGACATGCTTTTTAAAAAATGGGGAGCATAATGGCAATATCAGGGGGTCAGGGTTTGGCACACATTTCTTTTTCTGGCAGAAACACCCTTCTGCCTGAAGAACCATTTCCTCATAACCGATCTGCCCACAGAATGGTCTGGTGGTAAAACGGTTCTGCTGACTGATCACAGAATCACAGAATAATTGAGTTGGAAGGGGCTTATAAGGCCATCAAGTCCACTCCCTGCTCAAGGCAGGAAAACAAATTACAAGTCCAACTCCCTGCTCAAGGCAGGAAAACAAATCGAAGGATATCTGACAGACAGTTCTCCATGTTCCTCTTGAATGATTCCAGTGTTGGAGTACACACTATCTCCTAGGGTCATGGGTTCCCTTGTCCTACTGCTCTGACAGTTTGGACATTTTTCCCGATACTCAACCAAAATCTAACTTCCTTTAACTTGAGCCCATTGCTATGTGTCCTGCACTCTGGAATGATCAAGAAGATATCCCGTCCCTCCTCTGTATGACATCTTTACAGGTATTTGAAAAGTGCTATCATAGTTCACCTCAGTCTTCTTTTCTAAAGGCTAAACATATCCAGTTCTTTCATTTTTTTTCCCTCTCAGGGCTTGGTTTCCAACCCCTTGATCATCCTTTTTGCCCTCCTCCAGGCTAAACATATCCAGTTCTTTCATTTTTCCCCCTCTCAGAGCTTGGTTTCCAACCTCTTGATCATCCTTTTTGCCCTCTCCAAACCTGCTCCAGCTTGCTGGCATCCTTCTTAAAGTGTGGTGTTCAGAACTAGACACAGTACTGTAGATAAGATTGGCCAGGAGATGGTCCAAACAAATGGTGAAGTGGTGCCATGAAGGAGAAGCTGAATTCGACCAGATCACGTCATGTTCCAACCCAGGAAGAGGGTTGAGATGCTGATGCAACAGGATGCTGTCAATTCAGCTAGCCAGTCTTGGCAACTTAGGACCTCCCTCTAAGTACTCCTTGTGTTGGTGGAGTTGGAAGGGAGGACATTACAACTGCATAAAGTTACTTTTAAAAGGTAACTTTCCTACTCTGAAATGGCTTCAGCCATTCTTGAATCCATACCACATGTTCCTCCAGATTCACAACCCATTACTTTTTACCTTCTACCCATCCCTGCCTTTCTCAACTGGCTCTGAGGCCAGGTGCCAGGACCCGGTCTCCGGTCAAGCCCAGGGAGAGGACAGTCCTTACCAATTTTTTAAGACGAGCGTCGTTATCAGGGCGGCAATGACCATGATGAGAGAGACGGTGATGGTGATAATCTGATGGACAGCCAGACCTGTAGAGGGAATAAAAATAAAGGAAGAATGGGGATGTAGATTTGAAGCAAAAAAGAAATCTTGGATGCGTCGTGAGTGAACGAGCCCTCCCCACCGCAAAGCAAGCTGGCACATGAAAGTGGGCCTCCATCCTGGCAGAGGCTGGCAACTCCAGTGTTATTTGGGCAGTGCGTCGTGAGTGAACGAGCCCTCCCCACCACAAAGCAAGCTGGCACAACCGAAGCATGAAAGCGGGCCTCCATCCTGGCAGAGGCTGGCGACTCCATTATCATTTGGGCATTGGATCTGCTCTGGGTTCCAGTGTGATGGTTAAGAGGAGCTAGCCAAGGTGCTGAAGGTTCTATTGGAAATAACCATTGATAATCATGTGTTGTCAAGTCAATTTTGACGTAGGGCAAACCTTTCCAGCTATAGACTGCGAAGCATGAAAGCGGGCCTCCATCCTGGCAGAGGCTGGCGACTCCATTATCATTTGGGCATTGGATCTGCTCTGGGTTCCAGTGTGATGGTTAAGAGGAGCTAGCCAAGGTGCTGAAGGTTCTATTGGAAATAACCATTGATAATCATGTGTTGTCAAGTCAATTTTGACTTAGGGCAAACCTTTCCAGCTATAGACTACTCATACATGGTCTTCCATTGCTTTCTTCTGGGAGCATCCTGGGAATGTGCAGCTTGCCCAAGGCTACACAGGCTGACTTTTCTCCCAGGAGGCACACAGTGGGGGAATCGAACTCCCAACTTCTGGCTCTGCAGCCCGATCTCTAACTCACCAAGCTATTGTGCCAGCAGCTGATCCAAAATAAGTTCAGCACCTTGAATAGTTAGGATAAACCCAAAACAGATGCTCAGTCTCAGTGACATCACATACGCCTTCAAAATGCTGATGACATTTTACCGGTTTTGCATTCCTCACCTCTGCGTTTTTAAAATCTTTGAGCAATCTCTGCCAACTAACGGGGAGAGACTGAGCTTACTATGACAACTATCCCACATGCCAAAGATGGAGAGCCATCTGTTTGTTTGTGTGTTTACTGGATTTAATTCCCCATCTCTTCTCTAAAAGACAGTGGTCAAGGTGGCTTACAAACTTTTTATAAGAATAGAAATGAATTAAACCATATTTAGCTTTTAAAAACTCATACAATTCTATAACCAATCTTTCCATAAAATCATTAAAACCAAGCAAGTGCATTAAAACCAGTAAAATCAGTGAAGATGCAGACTGAAAGCAACACAGCAGAACAGGCTAAACCTTGGTTTATTCACGGCTGATGCCACAAAATCTCTTGGTTCCGCAGCATTACAGCCTTTTCCTTAACTTCTCTTTTTTTTTCCTTGATAAAAAGCCACAGCTTTACCAAACAGTGTGCAAAAGCCCCGTGGCACAGCGGTTCAACTGCAGTACTGCAGTCAAGACTTTGCTCAGGATCTGAGTTTGATCTCAACGGGTTCAGGCAGCTGGCTCAAACTTGACTCAGCCTTCCATCCTTCTGAGGTCCATGAAATGAGCACCCAGCTTCTTGTTGTAAACTGCACAGAGAATACTGTAACACTAAGGGGTGGTATATAAGTCAAAACAACACAAACTGTCCATTCACGAACACATACACTCCATCACAATATGGTGAGTCTCCAGGCTGAGCTACGCAATGTTGTCCCTTACATCATTTTTGCCATGTTCTCTACTGGGTTCAGGTGAGACTCTACAGAGATCATCTCCGAGTTTTCCCTTTTTCACACGACCACGTCGACCACCTTGCAACCAAAGAAGGCCACTTTGCAGCATTTAACAATTTTAACACAAACCCCCAAAAGTTGTCAAAAATGTGGTGGCACCATAAAGGCTAACTTATATATATATAAGTAAGCTTTTGCCCAGCCAGCCTGGAATAAAAAGTCAAGACACAAGAAATGAGTTGCAAACTGGGCCACGCTTTATGAATTAAATGAAAACCAGCATCCTCTTATGAAAGGGGCCTATGTTAGTGCAGAATCATGATCTGAATCTGGGGCGGGCCTTACGCCAAATCTAGATCTACTGGTGGTGAGTTCCCATAATGTCAGGGTATCCCCAGAGCCCAGGCCGCCCGAGGCTTCTGACTCTAAGTAGTCCAGGCCCCATGGGTCCCTTTGCTTCTCCCCCACAGGCCAAAACCTCCTGATCATCAACGCTCACGCCTTTCCTCATCACTGAGTGTGAAAAGTGATGTACAGATCAAAACCCAATGGAAAGACTATTGTTGAACTAGGTGTGTGGGGGGGGAGAAGGATATTGTATAACCATAGATTAACAGGAACACCAGGAGGTGACATTAATTATCACAAGCTCTTCAGAACGTTGTCTATACCAGTGATGAGTACAAGGACACTCATTTCTTACACTGAGGAAAACTGCTGGGGTTAGCCGCACACCCATACTGCAATGGGGAGGGATCTCCCACTAGGATCCACGACTGAGGTGCTGCCACAGTAAAGGCCCTGCTTTCTTGAGGAGTCAACCATAGAATCGTAGAACAATGGCGTTGGAAGGAGCCTAGAAGGCCATCAAGTCCAACTCCTTGCTCAAGGCAGGAACTCCACTTCTCTAAAAGGTGGGGTTTATAGTATCAAGTCCAACTCCCTGCTCAAGGCAGGAACTTCTCTAAAAGGTGGGGTTTATAGTGATGGAGCTTCCATATCTTAGAGATAGCATCCTTATTTGCTTCATGGAGAAGAAACCCTGGGGATGTTGTGTTTCTGGAATCCTAGCTTCAGAATCTTGCACCAGCCTTGTCATGGGGAAAAGATCTGAATACCCTTTGCAGGGCAGAATTGAGAATGAATATCTGCTTATCTTATCCTTATATATAGAACTAAAAAATTCTTCTCTTTACGTCAGTCAAGGAGGCAAGAAATTTTCTAGAACCCCTGAGAGAGTTCCCATATTGGGTTGGTTGGGTTGGGTTGGGTTGGTTGGTTTGCTCGTTTGTTCGCTAATTTTTTAGCATCACGTTGCCCCCTTTTATGCAAAACCTGTACAATTTGTCCAAGTACACAGATATCTTTGATTTAGGCAGACTACTCTGTTGTTTAAGAATTGAAGTGATGGATGGATTGCTTGAATATTTCTTAGCCTTTGTCCCGTCCTAAAGACCTATAAGATTTTCCATCTCCAGCCAAGACCAAGACAGAAAGAGTTCTTTCCCCCCCCCCACCTTAAGGCCTCTGTAATTGGCACAAAATGTCACCTGGGCTCATCTCCCAGAGCAACAGCAGAAGGTCTGGCTGATTGTCGGTAACAAAGGTTAAGAACCACTGCTTAAGGGACAAAATTGGCACAAAATGTCAACTGGGCTCATCTCCCAGAGCAACAACAGAAGGTCTGGCTGATTGTCAGTACAGATTCAAAGACCCCATCCAAGGCTCCAGATTCTGAAACAAAGTAGCTGGCACCCTAGCTCCAACCGATCCATTCGAATTGCACAATTCCACCCGGTACAAGAGTCTACACAAAAGCACCACACAATGGGCAATTTCACTCACACCATTGTGCTTTATTTTTCCAGTGCAAGAACTATGTCAAGAGCCAAAGATCCTTCACAATCCCACCTGATGCACCCTGATTACAGTTACGTTCATGAACTGCTGGAGAGTTCAGTGGTTTACGGATCTCGCTGTGGAGCCAGAAGTTGGGAGTTCGATTCCCTCCAAGGAGAAGATCCTTCACAATCCCAGCTGATGCACCCTGATTAAAGTTACGTTCCTGAACTGCTGGAGAGTTCAGTGGTTTACGGATCTCCCTGCGGAGCCAGAAGCTGGGAGTTCGATTCCCCCCAAGGAGCCTCCTTGACTGGGGCTCGTGTCAAGGATCCATCGGGTCCCTTCCAGCTCTGTAGTTCTAAGATGAAGACAGCTCCTCTGCTTTGCAAGGTAAGCACTCTCAAGGGAGCTAACAATCCGGAGGGAGGTAATCCCAGCCCAGATGCTACCACTGACAACTGATGGCTGTTGTGACATATCTCAACTTCCCAAGGAGATACAGGGAAACGCCTTTTCTGAACCGCTCAGGCGGAGAAGTGTCATAATAGAGAGCCGCTATTATGTCGCTCGCCGTCTTTGTCTTCCAGCAGTGGGCCATCACTGGCAACAGTCATTCAAGTTGATTAACTCCCATTCAGCCTGTCAGCGATCGCATTTCTTCAGCTTAACACCGACAATTGTAGCAATTCTTGGTCACAGAGAGTGCCGCAGAGAGTAGCCCCATCTTCTGTGCCTTTCATTTTTAGGCAGAAACTAGTCATTTCAGTGGGGTACCGTTCTTTCTACCTATAGTATCGTGTGATTGTTGGCCTTTTTTTCCCATTCAGCACTGCCTGGTCTTGTTTCTTGGCAATTCCACACCTCCTCCCTGCCCCATGCAGGCTACAGATTCCACCCCATCGGGAAAGAAGGATCACAGGAATATTATCACGGCACGGTTTGATAGAGATGGGCGCAAACCGAACCACGAACCGGGGGGGGGGGACAAAAACATGCTGGGCTCGTTGATGGTTCAGTTTGGGCATCTCGTTTTGCCAGAAAAAAACAAAGTGCCAAACTTTGGTCCCATCGCTGCTTCGTTTTGCTTTCGCCAAACAGGATGCCCACCCCCCCCGCTCCCCATCATCACATCTCTATCTTGTCTTGAAGCCCCCGTTGCCACAGGCATCCTGATGAGCAGCTGGCCTGAAGCCAGCTGCTGCCTATGCACACA